GTCTCTAAGACTTACAACCTTCATTTGTTCGAAGACATTTTTGATCATATGCAAATCTTGATCTGACGAAGCTAATTAAGTGTACTTTTAAAAATCATATTCAACCCATGTAAGGCGGTAAAGGCACCAAGAGACATGGGGTTACTAAGTGTGGAATAACAAGAAAGGAAGAGAAACATTAGGCAGCGGAAAGAATAGAAGAGTAATCAAAACAGTAGATAACGATTGACATTGCAAGAAAAGAAACTGTTAGCATAGAACTTACGGTTACATCTGTCCAATTCAACCGTGAATTGAGGAGACCTTGCCGCCAATCTAGTACTGCGCTTAAATTCATAAAGTCTAGGTACCATAGCGAAGAGTTCATCCGAACAATTACCATAAAAGTATTTATAGAAAAAACACAGGAAGTCGAACTGCCAGTTCAGGACCAATTCTTCTTTGGATTTTATCAGGAATCTTTAAATATACAACAGGAGCACCGGGCCATAGATGGCAGCAATGTTTAAAGCATGGACAAATGGTAGACTTATAAATATGCATGGTAAATTCCGGAGAGAAAAAGTGTCTCGAACGATACAACGAACCGATCTAGTAATAAATTCAATAAATTCAGTTTTTCCATTTCATATTAACCGAGAATAGTCAAGAAGGCGGAACGAGTTACTCTTATAAAGGTTAGCATCAGCCATGCTGGTAGGAGACCGGAAGGGATGTTTCAGCTGTAATAGAAAGAAGTTTCGTTTTGGAGGTATTAAAACTAACAAGCCATTCCTTACTCTAGTTAACAAAAATCTGTAGATCATTTTTTTGATTACCTGCCCACTTCGCCTTGTCTAACTGATCAGACTTATTATCGAGATTGGAATAAATGGCTGCGTCATCAGCATAGATACCAAGTTGAGTATTGATGTCACCAGGAAGAAAATTGAAAATTAAGAACAAAGAATAGAGCCCTGGGTGCTGGTGGGAAAACCTGCATTAGTACGGAAAGATCTAGAAGCGTGGCCATTCGGGACATTTTTCATTCCGCGATTAGATAAGAAAGACTGAATCTGTTCAAAACTTTGTCCGGAGTTTTTAGATAAATGTTTTACTCCTTTTTCTATCAACTTTCTTGGCATGCCAGTGGCAAGACCGCTTTCAGACAATATAACGATGGAAAAGAACATAGAATAGCGGCTTAATGATTTTATCTTGTTGGAATAGATTTTAAATATAAAGAAAATAGAAAATTGGAAGCGTTAAAAGAAAGAAAGAAGAATAAGTCAGAACATAACGAAAAGACAGGAAGTTCAAAGGAAAGGAAAGAAACGAGAAAGAAATGATGTTTAAAGAAACAAAAGCGAAGGAGAGGACACCCCCCCCGCAAAAAAAACAACAAAAAAGCAATATGTCACGTGAGAGTATTAGTCGTCTGGAGAAGGGTGGATATGTTTTCCCGATACAAATATTTAACTAGAGTCTGTTTTATTTGTTTCTTCGATGCTCGTTATATTTTAGCTAGATTTATTCAAAGACAATAAAAAAGTGAGAGAGAGAAAAGATATTTTTATGGCCTGCATTAGTACAAAATCTACGGAACCTATTCACTGGCAAAATGGCTGCTTTTAATATTCATTATATTTGTGCGTTTGTTTTATCAAAAAGGACGACGAGAGACGGTGTTTCTGTGAAATATTTCACCAATACTGTTTAAATATTCCTTACATTTTGCTACATTTTTTTTCGTACATAATTTAGAATGAAGGCATGGAAAAAAATATGAAAATAGAAATGCCTACGTAGTACCACAAACAAGTGCATCGTATACGACAATGTATTTAAAATAATTTGTATTCTATGATGAAAAGAAGCAATTCCTCTTGAGAACCGGGTATATGACCTTAGATTTTATTTGTCCAAAAGATCTTTTCTGTTTGAATTTGTGAACTTGGCAACGTAATGGTTGTGTGTTCAACTCCTTGGTCGGGCATGTGTACTTGCAATCAGTGGAAACGGGAAGCAATAACTGAACAGTACTAAATAAAAACAAGAACTAGATGATATCCCTAGACATGAGCAGCGGATCGAGAAGAGCCCACTCCTGTAGATTAAAAAAAGTGTTCAGTTCAGAATTCCCTGTAGGTTACTTAGATCAATAAGGGGGCACCTTGAGGCGGTGTAATGGTTAGCAAACTTGGTTCGCTAGAACAATTACGACTGAGTAGTGAGTTCGATCCTCACTCGGTACCCCCTAATTTTAGCCTTGTGCTACATCTAAGCTACGCTTGGAAAATCGCTACTCAGATCAATAAGGGAGGCAAGAGGGTAGATCCACCGAAACATTGTGATAATAAATAGCGTAAATAATAGTCTTTATTATTTTTAAAATTCTTAAATACATAGCGGAATATTTTTCGCCGAATAAACGCCACACCACAATAAATTCACTTTAATATCTATCTATCTATCTATAGGGTGCGATGTGTAAAATGTCGCCATTTTATATTTTTAATTT